TTAATAAATATATATATATATATATATATATATATATATTCAGTTTTGTATACAAATTTTATAAATTTTTAGGTGCTTTATCCAGCATGCCAGCAGTTCATACATTTGCTTTGTATTCAGGAATGGCTTTGCTTATAGATTTTATTCTGCAGATTACTGCTTTCATTGCTATATTATCCATTGATGCTGCCAGAGAAGAGGTTTAAATTACTTTTATTGTAAATTATGCTACCATTTATGATTGTTTGTGTGATTCAAATTACTTTTATTAGAATATATTTCAGATAAAATGTAATTATTTTTAAAATTATTTTATTGATTACTTTTGCACGCCCCACCATATAAACTATCCTAAGTGGAGAATATACTCTTTTTCCATGTTGAATGACCAAGGGAATTCTAAGAAGGGATTCTAGGATTTTATTAAAGGCCATTTGTTAATTTTTGCAAAGGATACTATTTAAAATTAAAAAATATTTTCATTTAGTTAAAAGTTTTGTCGGCTGTTATGTGATTTATATATACATCTAAATTGATAATTAGAAATGTAAGAATTTTGTAAAGACTTTATTTATTCTAAAAAATTTTGGAGTTTATTTAAAAAAAATATAGTCCTTTCTGAATTTGTATTTTTTACTTCCTTGAGACTATACTTATTATGTTTTTTTAAAAATTTTGTAATAATATTTCACTCTCTGTGCAGTAGATTCAGATTTTTACATATTTTAAAATTGTGGTTTTCTTGGGGAAAAAAAGTTTTCCCTGTGTCATTCAACAGAAAAATGGAGTGTAGCAGGAATATATTAGTATAATCAGGGCTCCAACGAGTCAGGGAGAACAGAGAAAACCTAAAATTGACACAGAATTTTATTTCAGCTCTAAAAAGCAAGGAACAATCAGAGAAAGTTGCAATTTTTTACAAAAAAAAAACTGGAAAATTCCTATATTATACCTGGAAAATAAACAATCTTAGAATTGTCAGTAACAGTAGTCAGTTTATTGAGATTAGAGTTAAATAATTCTATTATCTACTGATATTATTTTAGAAAATTCCACTTTTTAGTGAAACTTTTCTGTGTTTCCATTCTCATTCTGTTACATGTTTTTGCTCACAACTTGTAATATATTCGCATTACTAATTTTAAAAAAATCAAAGTTTTCTGATGAAAAATTGCATGGTGTGGATAAAATATGGTATGGATTTTTATCTGATATAATTGGAAAAGTCAGGGAGTTATTTCTGAAATTGAGTGTGAACTCAGGGGATTATGTCCAGGGTCTCTTTCAAAGTTAAAATTCTTTGCCAGAACTTTAATAACTGCATAGTCATTCATTTAATTTAATTTAATTAAATTCTTCAACTTTGTTCACAGAAAAATTTAGGCCTAAATAATTTACTTAACGATTCATTGTGGGCAAGGAAGTTATGGAGATTGAAGCTTTACAATTTTGTGACCATTGATATGTTTGTGGCAATATGGTCAGCACTGTGCAAAAGCTGCCTTTGCCTCTCAAGCAAGCTGGTTCTGAATCTGGGTGGATCTCACGCCATTACTGTGGATTAAACGCCATTCCTTTATAATGACGCCTCACTACCCTTAAACACTGAGCCATCAAAGCCTGTGTTCTTTTTCAATTGGGTACTTGCACTTCAAGATCATGAATATCCACACATGTGGCCGATGACGTCAGCTTATCGTTTATAAGTTTATAAGCAAAACTGCATTTTGAAGTTGGAACTGAGTTTCCCCACATACATTAGAATGTGAATTAATGTTAAATTAATTAAATACAGCGTCATATTGCACGTCAAATTTCTTAAAATATAATTCTTTCTCGTCTACGTCTTATACTTAAATTGGATTTATTATTTGTTTATGTATTTTATTTTAACCGAAATATATTTTTGTTTTGTATACCTGGCAACTCTGATCCATATTTTGTTTGTTTATGTTCTTCATGGCTTGGTGCATGTCTTTGTGTAAGAATATAGAATGCGTCACTTAAGAGAATTGATGCTTGGCAGGCTTAGCTTACTTGAAATAGAGTGGAAAGAACAACACTAACGTTGCTACCATAAACAAATGCCACAGTTCAACAATCAATCAGGATCAAGACGCCTACACTACGTTACATGCAGGTTTCCCATTGTCATCTAGCAACTTTGTATTCAGATAAAATCGAATGGTAGTAGCTTTTAATGCAATGTAAAAGCGGCTGGTGTTCAATATTGTCTGCATTGCCACTATCATGTGCTTGTCGTTAATCTCAAAATTGTTGAACTTTAACCTCAATGACCCCCTTGCCTAACAACTGGCTACAGTGGGAGTGCTTTTTACATATAAGTAGATAGGACCCATCAAAAAACAATTAAATGAGTTTAAAAAGTAGAAAAATATAGCCCCCTACACCGAATTCCCAGCTAACACCCACAGCTACTGCATTGTAAAGTAGCAAAAACTTAAATGCCTACATGTAAAAGCGGCTGGTGTACAATATTGACTGCATTACCACTATCATGTGCTTGTCGTTAGTCTCAAAATTGTGGAACTTTAACCTCCATGACCCCCTTTCCTGACAACTGGCTACAGTGGGAGTGCTTTTTACATATAAATGGATAAGACCCATCAAAAAAACATTTAGATGAGTTTAAAAAGTAGAAAAATATAGCCCCCATGAGTTTTAAAAGTAGTCATACCCCCTACACCAAATTCCCAGATAACACCCACAGCTATTGCATTGTAAAGTAGCAAAAACTCAAATGTCCACATTGTCCATTTCACGTGCATAAATTACATTGCTTATCAAAGTGGTTTAAAAACTTTGAAATTAACAAAAAAATTAAAACATATAATGAAGTTATTATAATAATGTTATCATAGTAAATTTCCAAATCCATTAAATTTCACAAAACTAAAATTTGTGCAATTTTAATATTCACTAATGTGTTAAGTTCAGAGATATTCCGTGTGTATAAAACTGATTTTTCAAGATTTTAAATTATTTTTATTTTTTAGTCTGGTCGTGTTGATATGTGCTGCTGCATTAAAACTGATAGCGTAACTCCTGCTCATCCTAGAAGAGGATTCCTTTATAAATTATTTGAAGAATACTATGCACCATTTTTGATGAAAGATTTTGTCAGATGTATTGTGGTGAGTAGGAACTCTTCTGAAAATTTTTGCATATTATGCCTATACTGTATGAAGAATATTGTTTATGTTACTATTTATTACTTTTCGTTATTTTACTATATTTGTTAGTTATATTTGTGTAATAATTTTTTTTATTTTTTTCAATCATACCATTAGATCTTTTGTGAAAGTTTAATAAATAGAAGATATCAGAAATGAACTAATCAGAAAATGAAAATGCTTATAATTTATCATTCATAAAAATTCTTTTGCTCCCATATGAAGAATTCCACGTGTTCACATAATGAAAAATTTCGTTGCATTTGTAATTTAACCCTCCGCGTTCGCCTCGGTTTTTATACTTTCCGGTCCTGAAATACGGGGCGATTTTTAAGTTACTTTTAGTTTAGTATTTTTCATTTTAAGTAATTTTTTCACCACTAAATATCAAAAATTATAAGTATTATATGAAATGCAACGTTAAAGCATCAATCTACTGGTTACTATATTAAAAAGTAGGCGTTACTATCTTCCTTCAACGAATTTTTCTATATAATTTGTGATATTCCCGAACCCTCTAGTGCCACCTAGTAGCGAAAATAAGCATCAGATGATGGTTGTACACGGGGAAATGGCGGGATCCGTATTGAAATCAGGGGAAAAATTTCTGCGCCCGCGATTTTCACGTGACCCGTAGTGGGGGACGAAACAGATAGGGTGACCCGGGGTAATTCATGATCACTCTGTTTCTGGTTTAAATAATGATCACCTGAGTTTTAATGAAAAAAAATAATTTTTTTTAAATTTGAGACATGGGTAAGAATGCTTATAATTTTACTGAAGTATAACTACATTTATTTAATAATAGTTTTTTGTTTAATCTAACAAAATAAGTATCTTTTAAACTGCGTTCTGTATTTTCCATTTCAAAGATGGGCGTCAAAATGTGCACATTTCTGAAAAGATCCCCCTCCTTCTCTTAATAATAAATATTTTGAGTTACTTTCTTTTTCTCTGATATAAAAATAGTGTAAGTTTTTGTTTAATTGTTTCACATCTACTGTAAACATTATAATTAATTATAAGAAACTATATCAAATGTTGCTACACATGGGGTTGGGGTAATTATTGATCACTGGGGTAATTCCTGATCATTGTCATTTTTTCTTATAAATAGTATAAAAAATAGCTAATTGTCTTTTCTTAAATAACAGTTCATATTTATTAAGTGGAACAACTATAAAAAATATTTTAACTGTAATCACAAAATTTGTTTTTAACTGTATACAAGACAAATGTGTTCTGATTTGCACCATATCTGGTTTGTCTTACCTTGCTTCTATCTTAATTTTATGTGTGTACATTGTTAGAATTTGTAAGTTTATAAATTAGCCTAATATAAGTATGGTGAGAAATTATAAGCCTTAAAAAGATACTTAGCTTCTAGAAAGCATAATTGGTGCATTTCTTTTAATGATTGAAATTGAAAATTTCAGTGTGAGAGCTGCTGTCAGAGCTGTTGACATACCTTACTTAACTTTACACTCTCACTTAATAAAGTTAAAAAATCCAGCAAAAGTTACCTATGTGGGAACTCTTTCTTATTTTCCAGCAGAACATTAGAATGAGTTAGCTGCTTGCGTAAAATGCCGGGCACAATGCAAAGATTTTTGGAAAATTTAAAGTGTTAATCTTTATTCTTGCTTTTAAATAAATCATTTTATTAGCTGCTTAAACATAACTCTTGGTTTATTTGTTTGATCTTGATGTCTTATTTGTTAACTGCCATTGTATAATTATTTTTAAACATCCCTTTTACTATAAAAACTGGTGATCAGTAATTACCCCAGATGTGATCAGGAATTACCCCAGAAATGATCAAGAGAAGGGGTAATTCCTGATCACTAAAAATTTAAAATCTTTTAAATTCTAATGAGATTTTCAAACAGAAGAAGGTAGCATAGGATTCATCTCATATAACCTCAAACTTCCAGTAAATATTAAAATTCTATCTTGAATAGTTTTTTCACAAAATAGATGTTTGCATTTTTTGATCAGGAATTACCCCAGGTCACCCTACCCCGCTCAAATCGCGGGAGCCGTACACGAATGGTTAATAATGGTTGTATTGTTGCTTGTATAAAAGTATAAGATATTAAGTTATGTTAAATAATCAAATCAATTAATAATTTGATATTTTTCTTTCTATTAATTTTTTATGTGTAAATTATTTTGCAAGGTCCGAATTCATGCTAAATTCACTATATAATCACCTGTCACCTGTGTAAATTTGTATTAGTATTGTTTAATAGAATTTTATGATAAAAGTGTTTTGTAGATTTTTTTGTAGGTTTCTTATAACTATTATCAGGTTCAAATTTTAATGGTCTGTCTTTGTTTCAGCTGCTCATATTTTCTGGATGGTTATGTCTATCAATCAGTGTTTTAGAAAAAATTGATGTTGGATTAGATCAGAAACTCTCCATGCCAGAGGTATTCAGTGAGTCAATTCCTCGACATGAAGCTTTTGGAGCCTGCTCCAAACTTTTCTAATGATATAATTCAAAAGCAAACTGAAAAGTTTAATTTGCGGTTCCACGTTTTGTCCCTCTACTCAGTTGTATAGGAATGTGCCATGATATTTTCCCCTTTCTTAATATTTTTTGTATTTAATTGTCAAAATTATTTTTTAAAATTTCCATGACACTTTCTTTTAGAACTATATTCTATATAGTTTCCAATTCCATATAGTTTCCCAATTTAAAAGTTTTTTATCTATTTGAAAATCAAAGCAGAGTGAAAGTATGCAAATGTTGCCATTGGTAGAGAGTTCTGCTGTATGCCACCTGTAGCCCATTTCGATGGCCAATAGATTTTCATCTTAAGAGGAGAGTCTAGATACTTTCCTTATCTTTTCCTTTTTAATAAACAATTTTCTGTTGAATTCATATGTTTTGAAAGCAAACTTTTTATTTTAGTACAAAATGATTTCTACAACTGCAATGACAATATTTTTTTGTCACTTTTTCATCAAAATAAATATTCATATAAAATATGCATTAAAAAATTTAGAATTTTATTTTTTTAAGAGCCACTCTCAATAGGAATGTTCCCTAAATTAGTAAAAATATTGTTTTGTATTTTATTATTCTTAGAGATATATAATTTTTTTTATTGTACTTTAATTTTTTGAAAGAAATATTTAAAATACTAATTAAAGAATTATTATTGAATGAAGAATAATGATCCTTAAATCTCCTACTTCTCAAAAGAAAGTTGAAGAAATTTGGAGTGAGCTTCAAAAGCTTTGCGTCATGGAACAGACCCATTAGTTTTATTATTTTCTTAGACTTGGAGTCAAATTGTTTTATTTGAATACATAATAATATTGTTTACATTTCTAGCAGTACATCTATTTTTAGCTCTTTTTCCAATCTAATGTAATTTATGTCTAATGTAAAACGAAGAGCATATGAAAATATTCGATTGAAATTTAAAAAGACAAATTTAATCCTACTTGTAACTTATGTAGATGAGTATATTGTTTGCATTAAAAATAATAGCAATAGTATTTAAAATTGCATTCATTTATTGTATATCTTAAGCATGTATCAACTACTTAATACTAATGATATGCTTATTTTAGAATTTTCATGCAAGCTATTATTTATTGATGTTAATTTAAAAAAAATAATAATGAATTGTAATGAATTTTCTTAAGAAGGCGATCAAGCTTACTGATACTTTATTTTGTAAATATATTTGTATATTTCAACTTATTAAAGAGAGAAAGTGACTAATAACAGACAGTTTATTTCATGTAAAAAAATACTTTATTAGCTCAATGAAAATTAATATTCAATTAGCAAAATAAAATGAAAAGTAAATGAAGTGTTGAAGGGATGTATAAAAATGTAATCTATGTATTCATGAGACGTTAGATGACTGATAAAAATTTTGAGTTAAGAGTGTTCTTATAATGTTATTGATATCTTAGTTTTTTAAATCTCCCTTAACCTTGCTCACTTTATCACTTGATTATTTTAATCGCTTTAGATTTTAAAAAAATTGACTCTACCTGGCAAATAGGTTTGAGAAGATTTATTAAATTTAGGTTTCTTTCTATAAAAACATAGTTCTTAATTAGCAAAACTCTTGTTATGTCGGTCTTGGCATATGCTTCTGAAGTGATAAAACTGAAGGAAAATTTTATCGCAATATTTGAGAAAAAGATTTTGCGGAGTATACTTGGTGGTGTAAATGGAAACAGTAACTGGAGAAGGAGATATAACTTTAAACTGTACAAGATTTATAAGAAACCTAATATTATTATGTACATAAAAATAAATAGAATTAATTGTATGGCCCACTTGATTCAAATGAGTGATTACAATATAATAAAAAAGACAGGTTTTTGGACCCACATAAGTCGTTATGGAGAAATCTTCAGAGGAAGGCATTGGCCGACATTGGGCTGTTTGGCCAGCTAGGATGATAATGAGATTTTTTATAATGATTTTAGATTACTGCTCTCTAACTCTAGACTTTTTTCAAAATAAAATCTTCAATTTCACTTCGAGTTTTTTTGTAATCTGATGATATCTTACTTTTAATTTTTTTTAATTTGTGGCATGATTAAGTTTTTGATTTTTGATGTTCTGATTAATTCATGGTAAATTAAAATTAATATCATGTAATACTAGAAAAAAGTTACAATTATTGTTTCATATTAAAATATAGCCTAGGATTTTTTTAATTATTAAACTGGTGAGTAAAGTGTCATCACTTCACTATGTATCATCAATTTTTATTTCAGCAAAACTATTTTACTAAATTATAGTCTGAATAATATTTTTTTTATTATTGCATATCTGATTTACATTTTTATTCAGTTTTTCAAATTTGGCTTTTCTGAAAAGATAATTAATATTAAGCAAACATTTAAATTTTTTTAGGACTCCTATGTGCTGAAGTACTTTACATATTTAGAAAAATATTTGTCAGTGGGTCCACCTGTATACTTTGTCGTTAAAGATGGATACAACTATACATCACCAGATGATCAAAACAACCTCTGCAGCGTATCTTATTGTATAAGAGAGTCTCTTGTTGCTCAAGTATCTGACGCATCATTGTTTTCTAACAGGTGAGAAATATAAGCAGTTGATACATGCTTAATTCTTTGTTCTATTTGGAAATTTGTTTCTATTTTTTTTATTATGATGTAATGATAAAGAGAAGGGTATATCCTTTGTCATAGTTTTGTTTATAGCTTATAAGTAAAAAAAAATATTTTCAGAAATATTGAGATATCATAAATTAGTAAATAAGACTAAGTGTTTAAAACCTTACTATTGAAAAGTTGCTATAAAGAATGGGACTCTACCTGTTCTGAAAATTTCTTATTTTCTTCTTTGATCATTTTCAGCTTTTTTTTTTGTTTTGTTACCAAGGTTATTAAAAAATAACCACATTGTGAAACAGCTACTTTCATACACTTTTTACTATATGTTAAAAAGAATCAATTAAAATATTGAAACCATGGATTGATATAGATTGAAGTCAGGTGCTGGCAGTTTTGATTTTTCAATATGACTTATTAGGATATCACTTCATATTCATTTTTGTAAAAGTTTAAATGGATATTTCTATGTTCAGTTTCACTTGCTAATTAATTCATATTTATATTGAAATTTTATTTTTATGTAGTTGTACAAACTCATTTAATTTAAGCTTTGTTTTCCCAAGATAGTTCGAATATTTTTCAATGGCTGAATTCTTGATCCATTAATAAAACAATTGTCTTTAAAAAAAAGTTTAAAAAACCTTGCTGCACATTATATATTTTATTGAAATTTTATAGTATTCACTCTGTGACACAGTATTTAAACAAAAATACTCTTATTTAATAAACATAAAAAATTTTAATTGTTTTAAAATTTAATTCTATTAATCTTTTTTTAATTCACATGTTTTTCATATTTTTCTTTTTTACATTCCTTTGCCTAAGTACTGTTTAAAGTTTGAAAAAAAAGAGGGCTACATTTTTGTGTAGAAATATAACAAAAATAAAGAAATAAACATTAGAATAGTATAAAGCAATAATTATATAGCATCGTTCAATGCTATAAACAAGTACCAATGTCAGTGCCAAGATATAGAATGATAAAAAAAATTTCAGAATTAGAATATCAAAATGAACTTTTGTTTTAACCTTTGTGGAATGGGGAAAACTATATAAGAACAATTGCTTATTTTTGTTTTGGAAAGTAGCAATTTGTTGCTTTTAATTTGCACTCAACTTTGTTCATTCTTATGTTAAAGGTTATTATTTTTTTATATATATAAATGCTCTTTTTATTTTAAGAATTATGACAAGTAAATTAAGAAAAAAAGTGATGTAAGGTATTGTGTTTATAACACTTGTTTAAGTTCTTATGCTAATTAAGTTTCTACAAAACAAAGAATACAAATAAAATTTCTTTTCACATGCTGTAGGAAGTATAATATTACCAATAGTTTTTAAATTCATCTTTATGCAATTTTTCAAACTAATGATTACTATTTACTCATTATCAAATGCATGGTAGCATTTTAAAACTTATGAAATGTTAAGTCATTACTCAATTAAATATAAAGCATATGACAGGGCTCGAAAAACGGCCCGTCCTCCCGTCCTCGGCGATCAAAAATTCCCTGCGGACAACAAATTTCTCGAATCCAGCGTCCGCGCAGACGGCCATTTTCCCGTTAATGTTCGTGATACATTTTAAATTTTTGTTATCTTACAAGAGTCTAGCGCCTCACTTCTAAAATGACCCTCTAATCTCGAAATACAGCAACATACTGCGCATGGTGGAATTGATGTTTTCTCTGTCTGGGAGTACTGCAGCGGTTGAAAGGAGCTTTTCAGCAATGAACTTACAAAAAAACACATTACTTACTGGTCTTAAACAAAAAGCGCTAAAAGCATTTATGAACATCTACCTAAATGGAAAACCTCTTTTAGATTTCTGTGCAGAAACCTCTGTAAATCATTGGCTTGATTGTGGAACTGGCAAACGTCATATTTGATTCATTTAAAAAACGCAGTACCATCGGATAAATTGACATGATAATTAACAGATAACTTAACCTTTGTTATTTAAATTATTTCATCAAAGAAATAAATTATTTCATAATAGAAATACTAGGTTTTACTATAAGTAACCTAGTATTTCTTTTATTACGTAATCCTAGTATTTGTAATCCTAGTAACTACTAATTCATTGTGCAATTTATATAAATGTTTGTAATAAATAAGAGAAAATTATATTTTTATTTATTTAGAAGCGACGGGTTAGTTTCAAAGGAGGACGGGTACATTGTTGGACAAGCCGTCCTCCGGAACGGGTAAAATTTCTGAGTTTTTTCGAGCCCTGGCATATGATATGTATGATATTTTAGAACTTTAGATTCTTTCATGCAAAAGTTTAACAATACAATTAGGAAATTAGAATTTTTAAATTGTCCAAAAATGCTGTTGTGTTTGTGTAGTACGTTAAATAATTTCTATGCTTCCTAGACTTGTTGCAAACCTGCAGTAAATGACTTATATTGATTATTCACTTCATAGTTAGAATGTTTTAAAATTGTGAGTTATTTTTTTAAAAATTTATTTTATAAAGCAATGCCCTTAATTTTTCCTTTTTTTCTGTCAACATTTTGTGTTATAGAACATTTTCATCAAATATTTGAAGAAAAAAAAACAATAAGACAATCAAATGTCAAAAAAAGTATACCAAAAATCTAAAATGGGGAAGATCTTTTTCTTTAGTACTACACCCTTGTGCATGTTGAAGTGTTTCTTTTTTTTTATTTTAAGTAGAGCATCTCGACACTTGACCTTTTCTTGTTTTCATAATTTTTATTATTTTATTTAAATATTTTTCTTAATTGTTTAATTTTTTTGGGATTAATTTTTTAAAAATTTTTAACATTGAGAGCTATGGCCTAACAATCTAATTCTCTATGATTTGATTACTCTCATAGTGTTTGGTTGTTGATATTTACTGCATAGTTCATGATTGTATGAAAATTTTTTTAATTGTGTAATTATATTTGCTTTATTAAGCATAATAAGTCTTGCAGTTCAACACAAAAAAGAGATATCTCCAGGGGTTGAGAGCATCTTGATGTATGAAGAAGTGCGGGTTTCTTAGAGGGCAGAATAGTTCAAGAGATGTTCACCATTCTTGCCAACATACTCCTCGCACAAAAATACATAATTCTCCTTATGCAATTTTATTTAATTGTTGTGAAAAGGAGATCAAGAATTTTTCTTTGTGATCTCATTTTTCCGACAATTAAAGAAAATAATGTTTGTTGTTTATTTTCTTTAAAAATTTTTGAAAAATACTATCTCTAAACTGGAATATTGAAATTGGTCTCTATTTTTTTTTTTTTTTGTATATTTGTGCAATTTTTTATTATTCTCTTTCTTATTGAATTTTTTTTAAGCGAAGTGAAAAAAATAATTATAATTTTTTGTTTTTCTTTTATATTTTATTTTTTGTTTCTAATGCAGAATTATATGTGTTACAGCACATACATAGCTCATCCTCCAATGGATTGGTTGGACAATTACTTTAGTTGGTCTCTTGATGGTACTGGTTGCTGTAGAGTGTTCAAGAATGACAGTACAACATTTTGCCCCTCAACTGAACCTGGTTTGTAATTTAATTTAAATTTTATTCTAAAATCAGAAAACCACAAATTGTGAAAAAGAAAGATGTAAGTTTGTGTTCAGAAATGGGGAAGCATAATAAACATGAAGAGAAATGTACACAATCCAATGAGTACCCTGCATTAAATATTATTTTTAAATTCAACTTAAATTCAAAAGGGTAAAAACCACAAAATTATTCTCAATTACTGGATGTGTATAAGAAATTTGAATATTTAATTGTCAAACACTGTTACTAAAATTAAAGTAAGGAATGGGCAATACTAATGACTAGCGACAGCAGGAAGCTTAGCAGATCCAGGAAATGTGCCTCCATGTGAGAAGATGACAAGTTTTCGAATAGAAAGCTATCTGACATCTTGTAAATGGATGGATGAGTAATGATGAGATATGGAATGAGTTATCTTTGTTTGGCATAAGATATTGTGGATAATAGATCTTTATAATGGCTAAATTCTGTTTTGTTTTTATAAATTTTTAAATTTGATACATTGGTTTTTAAATTGTAGTGGTGTATAATTATTATTTTTATAAAAATGTATTTATATGAAAGATTATGATGTGTGTAGCACTGCAGAATGTGTTTTCCAGTATCGAATAATATAAAAAAAACAATTTTTTTTTAGCTGACGACTGTGATGAATGTGCTATAACAGATACAACATATTTTCGTCCTACTTCTGAGAAATTCATGCCTTACCTTTTGCACTTTTTAAATGAAAATCCTTCTCCAAAATGTCCTTCTGGGTGAGTTGAAATTTATATATAAATTAAATTAATAAATGTATGCTTACATAATGTATATTTAAGCAATGAAGAAGTACATAAAATCTAAACATCAACTGTTAAAGTCAGTATGTTTTTATTTTAGCAAACCTCATTTATATATTTTATTTTATCGCCGTCATTGAATAGCTGATCCAATTTTGAGTTTACGTCTACTAATATTCAAATTCTTAGCCTTATAATTTTTTACACAATCCAGAAGACAACAGAACTTTTGGATAAAGCCTTGGGAGAAATTTGTCTTATTGGAGGACTTTTTGATGGAACTAACTCGCATTTACATTACATACAAAGTAAAACTTAAGTTTTTTACCGAAGAAAAATATTCATTTTCTCTGGCGGACCCGAGCCAAAACCTGTCCTAAACAGTGACCCCACTTCCCTATTTGAAATAGTTATGCCTTGTTACCATAGTCACTGCCACAGGCCCAGACGAATGGATAGGGGAGTTCTTACTTTAGACAAGCTATATTTTGGCTCTTAAATTTTCGTTACAGGATCTTTCCCTTCCATTCTGGCAATATGAGCAGCCCAATTGTTTTTTCTTTATTTTAATATTCTTCAGACTCTTTTAAAACTAAAACCCAGAGGCCAGTAGCTTCTTTATAATTCTTTCTGATAATCTTTTTTAAATTGTGATTTCTCAAGAACTATTCAAGCGATTTCAGTCAAATTTTGTATTTTGTCATGTCAAATTACATTCTGTAAAGTGATGTCACAAATTATGTACCTTACAATTCAAATTGTTTTTTACTATTTTTAAACAAAAAAATAATAAATATAAACTAAACATTATTTTTTTGCATGGAATTGTCTTTGGATAAACAAATATTATAATTGTGTGCAAACATTTTTCAATTCACTTAAAAAGCTCTCGAAATATGCAAGAAATAAAATTAGCATTAAGGGGTCGGTCCAAACTTTAGAACAGTTCTTTTGATCAAATTATGGGGACCATATTTCCCAGATTGTCGCTACACGCTATATTTTGAGACTATGAAATCCAAATTTATCAAAAATAAGGTATGTTCTTCCAGAGAAAGCACGTTTTTGTGCCCAATTCCATAACTTAAAATACGATGTGCACTAATTAACGAATATGAGCTCACCTCCCCCAACAATTAAGATTGAGTCCCAGAATGAAAAGATCCAATCATTAGATCAAAAGTTATTCTGGGTGGTCTGTTTTTTTTCTCACTGTACACTCCTAGCAACAATATCATCAGCATAAACTAAGGAGCTGAATTGATTTGTAAAGGACTCTTTCCAAGAGTTTCAATATTTGCATCTTGAATCCTTTTTCCTAAGCACAATATTTAAGAGAAAGGAAGAAAGAGAGTGAGGCTAGTGAACACAGTTAACGCTTAGGCTTTTCTAAAGGGCTCCTGTGAATTTGATTTTATAAGTGGTGACACTTATTAAATCAAACTTATGTTACAACTCCTATCACTTTGCCTGGAATTTTAAATTCACACATTGCATTCATTAGATGTTTCTTATTCACACTATCAAATGCAGACTTAAAATCTGTAAATATGTGATGAGTGCTCATACTAAACTAAATATGTGATATTAACAAAAATATATTGTTTCTTTCTTTATATAATTCTTCTTTTTGTAAGTTTAGCTTTGTTATAACAAATTTTTTCTATTTCTTTTATGACAGGGGACACGCTGGATTTGCTGGAGCTTTAGAAATCAAGAATGAAACTTTAGGAGGTATAAAACTTTTGATCTAAATTTGGGCAATTTGTATTTTAAAATGTTCTATTAGAATAGCTAGAAAATGATAGTTCATATTGAAAAGCAATTATAAACATTTGGTAATTATAAAAAAAACTATGCATTTTTAGTCAAAATATAGTAAAGGTATAAAACGTTAAAGGTGTTAATAGATCCTTACAAAAAATTTGTGTGGAGTTATTTCTTCTCTTTATGAGGATTGAGGACTAGTTTGTAAAGTAATCACTTTACATGGTCATTTTCATAAAGTATATACCTACACATTTTTCATTTATTATTGTAAGAATGGCCAATGTCAATTTTTGATAAAGATATACCCAGTATCAGAAACATCTTTAATAGCCTGCAAATTTTTAAATTTATCTTTACCTCGCAAGGTAAATTTTTTTATGTATAAATATTGTACTTGGTAGTTTGTAAGTTTCAAAAGGCCAGAATGTCAAATACTACATTACAAGCAAATTTAAATGCCCTACTAAGCTTCATTAGTTTGAATTAATTTAAATTTATTAGGGCGTAAATACTCCGTGTGCTTTTGCCTTCTACTTGCCTCATTACTCCAAAACTGTTTGTGCGTGCATGCTTCCTGACGGTGACTTCAAAGTACACTTCCAAATCTTACAAATTCTAAAAAAAAAATAATAATTCAAATACATAGTATGTTATAAGACATTATAATATATAATACATAGTATGTATGCTGATCTGGTGGCCGAGTGGTTAGCGTGCCTGACTGCAGAGCTTCTGGTCGCTGGTTCAAATCCTGCTCAGGGCATGAATGTTTCTTTCTCTCTGTGTCTTATGTCCTTTCTCTTTTGTGTGTGAATGTGACCCGCCCTATAAACGGGTTTGTGGTTGTGTGACGTGGGCGACGCTGCTCCACCGCCATGGCTTTGCCACAGGTGCCCACTGGGTAACGAGAAGAGGGTAGCAGTTCTGGCACTTTCTAAGGCCAATGGACAATACTTCCAAGTGCCCGCCATTAAAAAAAAATTAGCTAATGGTTTAATTAGTCTCAAGTATTTAAATTTTTATCAATTAAAGTAAATAATTTTTTTTTCTTTTGATAACATATTTTTCTTTTCATATGAAATGTTAAAGAACAATACTTAAAGCATGTTTTTTAATCTTCTTAAAAAATTTCTTAAACATTGAAAAATTCGAACTGCTGATTTAAAAACATCGGTCAAATACAGATTAACTTTACAGTTTTTACTTATTGACCACAAAAAGGAGGCATTTTTAATAACATTTTGACAGAAAAGACATTTTCAGACATTTTTTTAGTACTCTAATTTATTTTTATTACACCATTTATAGTTTTTGACTATTTATTATATCTGTACCTTCGTTCTATGGCCAATTCTGTTTTGTTTTTTTTCTTGAAAGTTAACATGTAACCAGTTATGTAAAGCAATTTCTGAGAAAATTTTTCTGCGTTTTAGGGGGATGAGTTTATATTTATGTAGCCCTTTAAGCATATGTAATAAAAAAAATATTTTATAATACATACCTAGTTTTTGTAATTTTGAAGTTATTTTATCGAAAATTTAATTTGTATGTATATATTTTAGAACATAAACTTTTTTAAAAACTACATTTATTGAATTTAATTTATCCATAGCTTTAATCTCTGAAAATCTTTTAATAATTATTTTTTTTGTACTAAAAAGTGATATACAAATTAGTTAGTTAAAAAATAAAGAAATTGGTAGACAAATAAAATTATTTTGTCTCAAAAACTTTGTGGTAATCAAATTATTCACCTTTTTAAATTAAAATCTGAACTTCTTAATGAAGTTCGTGCTATTACCCTTATGTGTAATGTACATATTAGTAGTAAGTATCCCTGGAAATTTCATTTTGTATCCTGGCATTATTCTTTTATGCATGAAAATTTGCAAGTTGTTATATTAAAATTTTTTTTGTTCTAATTTTTTCTAGCAACACATTATATGACTTATCATACTATTCTCAGAAATTCAGAAGATTATACTGAAGCTCTTAGGTGGGCACGTATAATAGCAGATAATATCACTACAACTCTTCACAAATTCCACGCATCTGATCCTAAAGCAGAAGTTTTTCCTTACAGGTAACTTTAAGGTTTTTCATTAAAAAAAACTTTTTCAATTTAAAAGAATACAATGTGGTTTAGCAATTAGATTTTTAATGATACTATTATTAAGTAAATTACCAAGGCTAAAACTATTGAATTAATTACGTTGGATTTTTAAAGGAATCATTTGCTTATAAACTGATCGCATTTTTCTTCAAAATGAAGTTTCATTTAGCCCAAAAGAATTTTTTCCCCTCCAAGTTAATCTTTCATATTTATCAAGTATCCTATTTGAATGATTATAAATTCTTTGTATTTTTAAGAAAAAAAACTTTTTGAAACTTAAACTTGATTAGGTTAGATAATTATTTTGTTCTTGAAGGAAATACAATTCAACAAAGCTGATAATATAATTCTTTTTCTGAATAAAACGTTTAAAAAAATCATCAACAGTTCTGTCAAAAAAGTTTAGTACTACATTTTAAGCATTTTTGTCTTTCTGTATTAAAATTAAAATGTTTATTTTCTGTTTTATGAAAAGTATGTTGAAAGCGTCTGAGTTTCTTAGTTCTTTCAAATATAAAACATGTACCTAATAATAAGTGTATGGTCAAAGTATGTTCTGAGAGCTAAAAAAATACTTGACCAATAATACTTGACAACGCAATGTTTTAACAACAATGGTAGCTGACAGAAAAATTGTTAATAATGCAATTTTTTATATTATATTGTTCTCAGAAGTACCCTTTGAAATATTTCATGGGTGAAAAATGCAGAAAAAATATGCTGGTTCAGAGATGGCATTTTTGATAAATAACATGCGTCAAAATAGCTACAAAGACCACATATTTTAACTTAAAAATAAACCAAACTAGTGGATTGACATTTCACAAAAATAATGAATGCAATTATTTTCAAACTATAAATGTTTGATTGAGAAATTCATTGAATCCTTTGAAAAGAAAGTTACACAGTTTATGAATGACCATAAATTACGACTACTTAAATGACTTAGGATACAACTTGAGAGTTTCATGTCACCTTTCCTTCATGTAAAAGGGGTTTAAGGTGCTTTATTTTTATTGTGTTTTATTTTTATTAAGGTGTTTTATTTTATTATTATAATATTATTTTATTTTCATTTAAAGTGTTTTATTTTAATTTTATTCTATTATTATTATGTTGTGGCAACATCAATTGAAATAATGGTTTAAATTATTTCTTTGAAATTTTTTCTAATTCAAATGTCCAAATTTTGGTCGATATATTAGCATGAACGGTTCAGTACTGAAATTCAAATGGATATTCAAAAATAACATTAAGTCTTTAAAATAAGCTGGACTAAAACCATTTGTCATTCTAATGGAAGGGTCACTTTAATGAGGGCCGTACTAAAGAGCATAGACTGTATTATTATTTTATTTTCTGTGGTAAAATTTCTTAAAAAAAACCTAACAAGTTTAGGAATTGAATGATTTTATTGCTTGTTTTTTTTATTTTTTATTTCATGTTTCATATAAAATGTTTGTGAAAGTTTTAAGTTTATTTAAATCATATTTTCTATATCCTTTATTTCTTTTTATGCGTAATATGTGTGTTTTTTTTTCCAGCATATTTTATGTATTTTATGAACAATACTTAACTGTTACGAAAGACTGTGTGATTAATATCTTAATTTCAATGGCTGACATATTTGTGGTGACTCTAATCCTGATGGGACTGGATTTCTATTCTGCTGCTATAATGGTATTTACCATTACAATGATTTTGCAAAATTTGATGGGTCTGATGTACTTTTGGAACATATCCATAAATGCAGTTTCCCTGGTGAATATCGTAATGGTAAGTAGAAAAAAGTTTCCAATATAGCTTGTAAATTCTTTCTTAAAGATAATTCGATATTTTATAATATTTCATATGATTACTTGTGAATAATTTTATTTATTTACCTGAAATATTTGGTTTGTAATAAAACAAAAAGGAGCATTCCCACAACAGCCCACTATGGGCCAAGGGGGTCATGGAGATTAAGGCTTTAAAATTTCTTGACCAACTGCATGATGGTCAGCAATGTAGCAATGTGGTCAGCACTGCACACAGACCACCTTTACTTCCCAGACAGGCTAGTACCCATCTATCTGAAGCTGGAATGAAACAAAAGCTTCATGTAAATTAGAGATGAGATTTGCTTAGTTTGAGTGATACACATACTCATTATCTGAAGGAAATTTTAATGTTCAGGCTTGTAATAAAATTTTTATGTATTTTCCCTCTACTTTCAAACCAAATGGATTAATAAAAATATGCTTAATTTAGTTATTTAAACATTAAAATTTTAAAAAAATAAATTATTTAGCATAAGTAATTAGGAAATAAACAACATTTTGTTTAGATAATAAGTAATCTCAAATCAGAAATTTCATATCTCCCTACATTTTGGCCTAATATAACTTTTTTAGAAATTTGTTCTTTTTCCTATTTAATCTTAAGGCTTAAAAAAGCTTCATACCTTCATTGTACCTTCATCAGTAGGACAAATGATTAAACAGAGATGATATAATTCGACAGAGTTATGACATAATTAAGATAAATATACGTTTAAAGAACATCAGTATACAATTGACAGTAAAAGTTTAAACAATTAGTGATTCCCAAATGTTTGAAAACTTGGGTGCTAAGAAAATGGTATAAAAATTAACTAAATTAATTTGGCATAAAAATTAACTAAACAAAATTGAGAATATAAAACATTAAAATTTATTGAAAACCTAAACTGGTTTTGGTGTCACATAGGTATACTTTCTTCAGTAGGACAAATGACTAAACAGAGATGATATAATTCGACAGAGTTGCAACATAATAGAGATAAATATGCATTTAAAGAATAACAGTTATACAATTGAAAGTAAAAGTTTAAACAATGAATGATTTCCAAATATTTTAAAAATTTGATACTGCATTAAGATCCGTAGTAAAATTTTTCATTCTGATGATGCGGAAATTCTCCCAGAAGTCCAGGTTAATGCATGAAATGTATTTTATGTATTGATCTTCATAATCTTAGTGCTGTAGAATTAATTTTAATTTTCAAATATCTGGGTATCATTAAACGCTATTTAACTTTTTGTTTAACTATTTCATTATTTTGTTTATTATTTCATTATTTTGTTTAACTATTTCGTTATTTTGTTTAACTATTTCAGTTTAATGTTGTTCTTTTTAAACCTATATTTTATCTCAGTTATTGTTGTATAATTTGTCAAATTATATTATCTCTATTCTACTATCCCTGCCATTCATTATACTGATGATGGGTGTACCTATGTGATACCAAACATGCTTTGGCTTTAAATAAATTTTACTATTTGAGATTTTAAATATTGTTTTTGGTCAATTTAAAAGATTTGGGCTGCTCTTTTCACTATCTTAACTTGAGACTCTATTCACATTATTTGTTTACAAGTGAGGATTTATATACAAGCTTCCGTCGAACTTCTGAATTTTGTTTAAAATAATGAAACAAAACTATATTTCTATTTGAAATGATAATACAGAAGTTTCTTGGATTTTTCCTTGATAAAAAGGTAGTTGTCATTGCGTATCACTGTTAGATATCATTTCAGTCTATGCAATGATAAAGAACAATGATATGCAACCACAAAAATTGGCATGTGTAAATAATTTAAAAATTGACTACTTTTTTACATAGCATCGTTTAAGATGTGCATATTACCAAATTTAAAAATATATATAGTGGCTGACTGAATTAAAAGTATCGACAAGGGTCCTCAAATGTTGTTATTTATTGTTTTTTTTAAAAAACTTCTTATATTTTGTTTTAGCTGGTTTTATTCATCTAATTCTCTTTATATTTGTACTTTATTCCTTGAATATCTTTATTATTTAGATATCAGATTTGTATTAAATATTTTAAAGGACATTTATATCCTTTTGTTGTTTTTTAGCATAAAAACATGGTCATATTTTTTACCCATTACTTCTTCATCTACATCAGTATTTCCCAAACTTATGACTTTTACGTACCCTTTCTACATTTTTTGTATCGCTGTTTACCACTAATAAAAAAATTAATTTTTTTTTAATATAAAAAAATTGCACAAAAGTTAAAAATCACAACTGGATGTTGACGCCAATAAGCCTTAACTGTTAACTCTGCAAAAAATAGCCAATAAAAAAATAAGTAATTGTAAATTTTCATGACTGGCTTTGTTTTTAAGTAACATTTTTTGAAAGTTTCGTTTGTTGCAAGATATTTCGCATAAGAAAGCGTACCCCTGCTGAACTGTTTCTGCACTCCTGGGGGCACACATACCACACTTTGGGAAACACTGATCCGCATAAAAAAAAACAAATTGCATTTATTCAAATTGCATTTATTCATATTCATATTACAATGTCATAGTTGGTACTATAAATTCTTGAATTTTCTTAACCAGTGGCTTGTGATATCTACATTAGGAGACACTTAAATTACTATTTAATTATAAATTAATTTATTTTTCTCATTAATGCTATATTTTCTTTTCTTGCTATGAAATGTTAGCAATTATTACATATTTTTAACGTTGCTTTTTTATAGGGCATTGGTATTTCTGTAGAATTTTGCTCTCATATAATTCGTTCATTTGCATTCAACTCTGAGGGTAGTGAGATTGACAGAGCTAGGGCAGCTGTAGCACGAATGGGTAGCTCGGTAAGTAAACATAATGACCTTTAATGAGTATTTCAATATTTACAACCCACCCAATCCTATTTAAACATGCATTTCATTACATGAGAATCTATTATGCTTGGCTTCTTTTTTAGTGAATTAATAGTTGTTTCAATAACATAATTGCTTTGTTGGTATGCTTATTTCAAGAATTCATTGAACAGCTCTAGTTATACCTTTTTGTTGTTTTATTCTTTAGTATACAGTGATTCTGCTAGATTTTGTAAACTACACACCCTTAGGACCCAAGATTCCAAAGTTCTGGGTCTTTTTTTTTTACTAAGAGTGGGTCCCTATTTAAAATTATGCAAACCATTCAAAGCATTCTATAATTCAAAAATCTCAAAATTCTATGTGAGATAAAATTCATTTGCGTTTCAAAATTTTATTATTTTTTTCTTTTTAAATTAAGGAGAGAAAATTAATTATCCAAGATTAAAAAAATTAAACTATGTTATTTTGTGCAGATGATAAATTCTCTACCTTTTTATCCATTTATATGTACGAACATTTATAAAGATTCCATCTATTGATAAACAAAATAAGTAAAGGATTATTTGAAATCAATGTACTTCTTGTAACTTATTTTTAAAATTTCATGTTTAAGCATTCCCTTCTTTCAATTAAGACAAGAATTTTTTTATTGTCATGTTCTTTATAAATGATTTATTAATCTCTTTCTTTTTCCTCGTTATGCAATTTAATGCAAATGCTAGGCAAATTAAAGATGTCACAATTTTTTGAATTTTGGATTAATGGTGAAGATGTGTATTTAAGAGTTTTAAAAATTATTATAAATTTTTTGCAATTTTTACAAAGTGAAATTAAATAATATTCATTAACTGAAGCTTTGTTTGCATTATTAGGTGCTTTCTGGAATCACATTGACAAAATTTGGTGGAATAATTGTTTTAGCCTTCTCTAAATCTCAAATATTTCAAGTATTCTATTTCCGTATGTATCTTGGAATAGTTCTAATAGGAGCAGCCCATGGCTTGATATTTTTACCTGTTTTCTTGAGTATATTTGGTAAGTTGAAAAATTGCCATTAAAATTATCTTTATTTTTTTCAAAAAAAAAAAAAATAAATGTTTTGACTGTATATTTCAAATTGTGTTTATTTATAGATGTTTTAAAATTGATATTTGTATTTCTATATCTACATTAATTGTATCAAGAATACCAACTAGTACTAATTTTAATTCAAACTACAGAATTACCAAAGATTTTTCTATTAACTCTCATATGCTGCATTGCAAGTTAGAAAAAAAAATTGAGGAATTTCTAATAAATGTCGAAAGCTTCTTTCATTTAGAGGTGCCCTTTACAGGAGGTAATATATATATATATATATATATATATATATATATATATATATATATATATATATATATATATATATATATATATATATATATATATATATATATATATATATATATATATATATATATATNCCACGGCCGGGGGGGGGGGGGGACGTTAATTGCTTACGTTTTAGATTATTTTGATTTATTAATTTAAATTTAATTGTATTTAAACATGCCTTCAAAATAAAGTACAGTTACACCAAAAAATAAATATGAAGTTATTTAACATTTTGGCTCACTAGAACGTCAAATCAATGAGAACCCCGAGCTTGTTTCTTTGTAATGAGACGGTTCCATCTGGAGGTCATCGGAGACAATGACACCTGAAGTGTGTTGCTTATGTCCAGTTTATTCTATTGCTTTGTTTTGGTTGCTGTTACTGCTAAAATTTTAATGGAACACAGATACTTTTAATTTGAGGTATAAACGTAGGAATTTAAATTCATTTTCAATGAAATCGGCCCTGTACCATTTGATCCACGGACCGAGAGTTGGGGAGCACTGCTTTTGAAGGCATCTTGTTCACCATTGAGCAGTTTTGAGTTTAAAGCAAACTCTCTGCACCATATGGTACCTTTTTTTTTCGTAATTGTCTTGGTCTTCATTTCTGTAAATATTTATTCACATTTTGCTACCTACTTTTCGTAAATTAACCCTTTAGTTGATATACTAACAAAAAAAAACAGTGATTTGCCCATTTATTTAATTAATATGAATATGGACTTCATCAGTTCATTTTGCTAATCTTCTTACTGAACATAATGTAAGAAGGGCATGTATAGGTCATGTAGAAAAATACTAAGTACTCAATTACTTTTTTATAATGTTTATTGCATATGCTTTAACCGAGAGAATACTAAATTAAGTAATCATGTATAAATTGTTTTCAGGACCTCCCATCAAGCATAATTTTTCCAATAAAGAAGGAACCCCTTTCAAGACATCACTTAAGGAAGAGAATTTTAGTACAGAAATAAGTACTGTTCCTTGAACAAAATTCCAATTGGATCTGAATATGTGATACTTATACTCAAACTTTTAAAAAAATCTTATTGGCTGACTTGTTTATGTTAATGATCTTATATATGTATATTTATTAAAGTATTATTTAACCCATTCAACTAGACCAAGTATTTGTAAGAGCTAGTCATGAGTTTCAAGCGATAGACTGTACATAATTTCGTGATTATCCATACTACACAGTGAAGTCAATATTGATTTACAATAAGGAAATACTAAAATGTGGTGTGACAAGAAATTTTTTAATATGTTTTAATTTGTATTTTGTTATTTATGTACATTATCTACCTCAACCTGACTCAATAACCTGTGGCATATTTAAAAATGAAAAAAATTTGAAATTTTAGCACTATGTCTCTAATTGTACTGCAATTTTCCTGAAATGATTTTTTTTTTTTTGGAATAAGAGTTATTTTAAATTTAATTGGTTAAATATTATGTTGCTACGCAACTTAAATATTTTATTTGTCAAAAAGTTTTTTGTGCAAAAGCTCTTGCAACGTTTTTGTATTAAAAATCATTGTTCTGAGCCTTAAATTTATTTATTGAAGTAGATATTTTAGTGTAATTTCATGTCTTTTATACATTCAAGAATAGCAGCTCACATTTTAATCAATATAAGATAAAGATAAAATTTTGTGCTAAAAAAATTCCACACATCCTTTTATATGAATTTAATGTTTTTAAGTTATGAAAATATTAAAAGGAATTTATATTTCTTATAATTTCTGTGCACAAAAAACCATTGTGCGAGGATAAAATCTTAAATTAGCTGAATAAAGAAGATATTTTTTTATGCTTTTAATCTTTCTATAGATGAGTTATATATAGAAAACATAATTGCTTTTTTTAACCATGTGGAGAATGCCAAAAAAAATATTAATAAATATATGCATTAATAGTTATAACTAAAAAAATAAAGTCTCTGTATTGTTGAATAGTAAATATTTTTTATATTATACGTCGTGCATGTTTCCCTTCTTGCCTTACAATGTTGTATATATTTTATAATTTGTCAGTTCTTACTGAAACTTATTGCGTGTTTTTAAAATTGTTAAAAAATCTTTACTTTGATTGAAAAAAAAAGCAATGACCATGAATTTTGTTTCTGACGATTTTCTCTTATCTGAATGTAGGTTTTGAAATCACATCATGTGAATTTTATGGAAACTTGCACTTAATCTAAAAACAATAAATATTTAAGATTTCCTGCTTTCTGCAAGATTTTTTGAAATGAGTATCTCTGGTAAAATTCTCACTTCCTCTGACTATTAGATCTGTTTATAATTTATATATTTATTAAAAAGGTTTAAAAATTAATTATTTCATATCAATATGCCTGTTTTATGAAAAAAAAATCTCATTTTTATCATCAGATTAACTTAAGTTGTATTTAAGTATATTGTAAATAAACATATTTTAAATATGTTTCCATGAAAAATATTTATAAATGTAGTGCAAACATTTTTACGTATGTGTTTGACTTTTCAATTATTGTAATTGAAACCATGCATTAATAAATCATGCTTAGTGAAGATCTTATTATTTTAATATCAACTTTATAATATAATTTATATTTTATTTTATTGTAATTAAGAGTTTTGCCTGCTTAGTTTTTGAAAACAATTGAAATTTATTAGCTGTAATCTCCAAAAATATTATATAGCTGAATGTGATGAATACTCAATAAGTTTTTGTCAGTTTTATTTAAAATGCAGGGTGCACATTAAATAATGTGAGGTCTTTAGAGCTCTATAACTCGTGATGTACTGATCAAATGTCAAAAAAAAAGAGAAAAAAAATTGGACTCATATACTCAGTAGAGTGTGGGATTTTAAATATATATAAAAAGTTCTAAAATTGCCTATAGCTTAAAATTTGGCACTTAATGCAGAATATGTCTAATAAATAAATGCATATTTGTCAAATGAAGCAATAAATAACTTTTTATATTACTAAACAGTATTTATTTATAATTTACAAATGGGATTCAATGTTACCACCATTCTGATATCCTAATATTTGCCTGCTGTATATGACATTTTCTGCAGAAGCTTACTACATATCTCTGTTTATTCCTTTGACATGCAAAGCAATACGAGCACATTGACCCCTTTTTTCAAATTATGATAAATACTGTTTATTATTATAAAAAGTTATTTGCGGTTTCAGTTGACAAATATGCATTAATTTATTGCGCGTATTGTGCTTGAAGCTCCAAATTTTCCAATATAGGCAACTTCTGGAACTTTTTTTTTGGAAATTAAAACCCCATACTCTGCTGAATTTGTGTGTCAAATTTTTATAACGTTTCGATAAGTACATTATGTGTTATTAAACTCTAAACAACCTCATGTTATTTTATGTGCATCTTATTTTATCACGTTATTTTATATGAATTTGAAGTACAATAATAAAATTGTACTTTCCATTTATGAAAAATTGGTTATTGAAATAGCCTCTTTTTGCTCAGTTTTTATTTATTATTTCTTCTTAGTTTATTTCTTAGCTCTTTTTTATAATAATATTTAATAGACTTTGTTATATAATTCTGTAATTAAATGGCAAGCTATTGTTAAACATGCATTGTGTCAAATTTTTTTTAAAAATTACATATATATATTTATGTATGGAAGTTTCTATGATATCTTGTTGCTGAAAATCCACAGTTGTTTTTATACTCTACTGTACTGTAATGCATAGTCAACATTGAATGTTGGGATTTGTAGTAAATTTTGGCTGTAAGCTCCCTAGTTAAATTTTAGCTAAAGTGTAAATAGATTATATTAATATTTTCCAGAAGGTTTTATGGATGTTTTTTACACTGAATAAAATAACTAGTAAATAATTGTCTCCTATCTTTAAATTATTTTGATCATTACAATGTACTTATTTTAATTTGTTTAAAATATGTTTAGCCTCATTAATTTCTGAGGGGAAATACTGAAGTATTAAGCTTTTGTGTAATCAATATAATGGTGCAGTGAAAAAAAAACAGATGTTTCAAACAACTTCTATTTATAAAAAGTTCTCTATACAAAATACTACACTTAATACATTAATTTTTGGTAAAGAATGCTGTCTTTGTATGTCTTTACATTCTTCTGTATGGAGGTATTCTCATCCTTTGCACTGGTCTTGAAATGGTGACTTAAAATTACATTTCACTTAAAATTACATAGTTTAAATAATTGTAAAAAGCTTTTTGCCTCATAATTTCTAAAATAATTATATGCTACATGTGATTTGTAAATGTAATATTTTGCCATAATTATATTTCCATCTTTGAATGAAAGAGTTTTTGTGATTGTACCCTAAACGTTTTTGATTCTTTTAAATAGGTCTAGACCCTCTCTGTTTCTTGGTTCAGAAAGAGGAATAAAATTAATACCATTTTAAAAAATATTTAAGAAAATTATAATATTGTAAACAATGATATA